GAGTATGTAGGGTTATGTTTGTAGAGCAGTTGATATGGAGATTTGTTGTAAATATTAGGAGAGGGCATGAGGTTGATGAGGTATACTACCACGAGTAATATGTCTAACCAAAGATTATAGGGAAGGTTTGCCGTGTGAAGTAAGGTACGGGTAGTTTCGAGAATGTTTTAGTGCTTACGTTCGGCTAGGCCATTCTTCTCAGGAGTATAAAGACAACTTATTTGGTGGTTAATGCCATGTAATTTAAGGTAGTTTTGAAACCTGTGATTTAGGAATTTGGTGCCTCCGCCATTGCGAATATGTTTGATGGTAAGAGAGTGTTGTTTTTCCACTGCTGAATGAAAGTTTGTAAATATAGAAAACACATCAGATTTGTGCATAAGAGGAAAAACCCAAGTAAAGCGGGTAAAATCTTACACAAATAAGATATAATATTTGAAACCTTGATTGGAAGAAATTGGGGAGGGTCCCCATACATCCATATGTAGTAGTTCTAATGGTTTTTAGTCGTGGGTAGAAGATTTTGAGAAGTGAAGTTTATGGCCTTTAGAGGCCTTACATAAAGAGCAAGAAGTAGTCAAATTAGAAATAGCTAGATAATAGTATTGTTTGGAGATGGTGTTGAGGACTTGCTGATGTGGATGGCCAAGACAGTGAGGCCATCGAAGGGAGGAGGAAATAGTGGAGGACAAAGCTTGAGATCTTCTACTGTTGTTGGATGAGGCGGAGAGATGATAGAGTTTGTCATTACATGGTCCAGTGAGAATGGTTGTGTTGATCTGTGAGTTCTTTATTTGAAATCCATAGGTGTCAAAGATAATGGAGAGATTGTTATCTTTGGTGAGGGAAGAAAGTGAAAGAAGATTGTGGGAGATGGAATAAATTTGAAAGAGAGATCTTACGGGTCGATGTGAAAAGGAGTCCGTGATCGGAGTGAGCTATTGGAATGGTTATGCCATCGCCGATGGACACACTATCCAGACAACTATACTCCGTCGACTGCAGAAGGTATCGAGGTTATTAATAAGGTGGGAAGAGGCCCTAGAGCCGAGAATCTAGTTGATGGTTGGCTGTGAATTGGAGGCAAGTAGTGTTGTTGACGAGGTTGGATATTGGGAGTTGAACTTGTGCCTGCAGAGGTTGGTTGTGTGTCCCCTCTTTTTCCGCAGATTTGACATGTATTAGCGCCGAATGGAGTAGCAATTGAGTGTGATTGAGGGGGAGTTGATCTAGAGTCGGTCTGAGTGACGGGATGTCGTGATTGGAGTAAGATGTGAAGTGCCCACCTTCGCGACCTCGTCCTCTCATTGTGTAAAGGGTTGTGTTGAAGTTGGGAGTTGATGAGTCTTTAGCAGATTCGGTAGATAGGTTAATTTATTCACTTAAGAGTAGGGAGTAGAGGTCTTCAAGTTCAATGGGGGTTAGTTTGGTTCGGATAGAGGTTTTGAAGGCCTGATATTGTGGAGAAAGTTCGTTGAGCGTGTAAAGAAGGATATCCTTGCTGTCAATGGAGCAACTAGCAGCTGCAATGTTGTCAGCAAGTGTTTTGACATTGGTGAGATATTGGAGCATAGTAAGTTGTCCCATGGAAATATAATGTAGCTCATTCTTGAGTTGTATTACTCTTGACCGGTTTGTGGCTTGAAGTCTGCATTCATGGGTGCTCCAAATATCAGTACATGTGTCCAGATGCAGGACGTAGGGGAGAATGCCGACAGTGATGGAGGAGCATATAGCAGCTGCGAGGTTCTGGTCTACCAATGTCCAGCGGTTGTAGGCAACATTTAGTTGAGAGATGCCATATTGGACTCGAGGAGGAGGCCAGGAGGTGCGGCGATGGATTTGTCGAAGAAACTGGCATAACTATTTGCTCTAAACATCTTAAAGATTTGGGACCTCCAAGTGGAGGATTTGTCGTTGGACAACTGAATGGGAACGATGGTTTTTATGTTAGAGATGAGAAACTTTAAGGAAGAGGGGATGGTGACGTCATCTACGATGGGCTCTATGGGGGCGCCCTCGGTATGGGAGGAGAATGAGGAGGCCATTTATGTATTTATGGGGCTGTGAGTCAAAAGCTCTGATATCATGTAAGAATTGCGGTACAAGAAATAAGGCATAACAAAGAGAAACTCAAAAGGAGGAAAAGCAGATTGTCATTTCTGTTAAATGAACCTGTACACATACATTTACTGTAGCAGATATGTGTATATATACGTGTAACTGATTTACAGGCGTAAGGCTAGGATTAGATAAGTTTTGTTGTGATCTAATGGTCAACGTTTGAGATGTGCTGAGAGTGGTCGTTCCATTCGAATGCTGTTGCAGAGGAAAAGTGCTGAGTTGTTTTTAATGAGAAAATCATTACTAAAATGGAATAGTTTTTTATTTATATTTATTCACAGCATATTATGAAAATTATTTCATAATTTTTGTAGTTTTTTTAGTTGAATTTTCATTTACTTAGATTTATTTTCTATTTGTTGGTATGATAAAATAATTTTAAATATTATATTATTTTGTGAGCATGTGCTTAATTTGCTGAGCATATGATCATTGATCTGTCATGTTTGTAAGAAAATTTATTTGATTCCAAATTGCTATCATAATCTCTAAATTTGCTAACTTGAGCTTTATGCGTTACTTATTCCATTAGTTGCTTAATTAAGTAAAAGAAACTTCTAAGATTACTAATATTTCTTAATCATGTATTTTCATGATACCGAATTTATTTAGTTTTATTTATATTATATCATCAAATTTGCCAGAACATGTTAATTATGGTTAATTAGGTTTTAAATATATTATATCGTGCTTTATAAATTTGAGATTAATTTTCTTTATATTGAATTCATCAAGTTCTTTACATACATTTTTATGTATGATATATTATCACTTATGTCTATATTAATATAATTATATTTAAAAGAAAAGATTGTGTATTTTCCTAATTTTGGCCCAGGACATGCCAAAACTTTTGTCATTGTAGTGGCTATGACATGCCCTTTCTAGGGTCCGGTTGTGACCTTGGCCATATAATGATTGGTTGAGTAATTGTTCGAGAGGGTTTGACTGCTCATGTTTTGGATCTTTAGGGAAGGGATTTTGAGAAATTTTCTTATGCTTTTTTAATATTATTTTAAGGAGAAATGGAGAATCTAAGGCTATAAATACCACAATATATTGAGTAGAAAACATTTAGTTCGGTGAGAATCAAAAAGTTTCTTCGTAAATCAATTTTAGAGGTTTTGTAAAGACAGAAGCGTTCATCTCAACAAATCCAAATTGTTTGAGGTCTCCACTTTGATACTTTAATCTCATAGTTTGTTTAAAGTTTGCGCTTTGTATTGTATATCTTTCTATTGTTAAACAAAGTTTTGAGTTATAATTTTAGCTTTAACTTTGCACATTAATCTTGTGATCATCATATTTGGATTTATACACGAGTTTGGTGTATAATTTTAATGCTTTGAACCATGAGGTTGAGTATTTCATCTATAGTATGCTCAATCATTGTTTATTCACTCGCCTTTTTATATAATATACACTTTAGTTAACTTCAGTGTTGAACTTGAAGGATTAACTCATTTGATTTTTACTTTGTAAATTTTAGTATATCATTGAAACTTATACACTCATTTCTATTGGATTATCACATTGTGTGGGACTTATCTATTTTCTACATTTGCTTGTTTACTTAATTTGCATCTAATTATTAAATTATTTGTTTTGTGGAGAAAAAGATTCATGTAGCCGACCCCACAGTGAGATAAAGGTTTATTATTATTTTTGTTAATTTATTTGATTTTTAATGCTTTATTAGTAAAGATTTGAATTAATAGGATTTCAAAAGAAGAATAAAGTGCCGCATTGTAGACACTACTCACCTTCTTTTTGGTGTGCCCTTGACCATTTTTATTTTTATTTTATTTTATTATTTATTTATATTTTTTTAGTGTGCCCTTGACCGATAGTTTGGGCAACTTCTTCAAATAGGACTTAAGATATTAAACTTATTTTGGTACTTTGATTTTATCTAGGTATGCATCTTAATCTTAGTTTTCTATTTTTTTTTTTTTTACCTTTGAATATTTCAGAACCTATCGTCTATATATATTATGTGGCAAAATCCATATGGTTCACGAGGGGAACAGCCAAAGGTCAAAATGGATTGTTGTCTAGAATTGGAAGATGAAGTAAATCTGTCTTTGAAGCTTCATCCTTAACGTCGCGTTTTTCTTTCCCCACCATTTTGGTTTATTCTGAATTGCTAAATGAAGATGCGTGAAGCAACTTTTGAAACACTGAAGAGAATGATATCACTATGAATAACAATGTATTGAATACTTTCATTTTTTTCATGTAGAAATATTAAGTTATGTTAACAGATAGTACTTGGAGTTTATGCAGCGCAATTTGATATTGTCTCATCATTCTAACTTAGAATGTACGTAGTAAAGATTCTTTTAGCCTAAATATTCCATGAACTTGGTGATGAATATGGTCCACTACATGCACACATAGACTGCAACAAAGACTCAGATTTCTTAGTTTAACAACTTATTTTGGTTTAGATGCACACATACTTTCATAGCTTATTTTATACTCTATATTTTAACTATTTAATTTATAATTTACAAGGAAAACAAGCTTTTTTCTTGTCTTAGTTGAAACATTTCATTTTCTTATAAAGTGAACTAAACCTGGAAAGTGATTTTGGAAACTTCTGTTCTTTAATATTTTTAATGCCAATCTTCAAAATATAATTTTTATCTATAAATTTTTAATTATCATGCATTATTTTTTAAGATTTTTTTTTTCCAATTATCGTGCATTATTTTATAAGAAATTTTTTCTTTGTCAAGTTTTCACGTCTTAATTCATAATATTAGTCTTACATCTGCTTGCCTTTATGCATTTCATTTGATTTTGCTGCTCAATTTCTTTGTGCTTCATTCGCATTATAAGCTGTTTATTTCCTGCTATCATGATTGCCATAGGGAACAGTTGTGCTTCTTTTCCAGCCAGCTGAGGAAGGTGGTGGCGGCGCAAAGAAAATGATTGAAGCTGGGGCTGTGGATAACGTTGAAGCTATATTTGGTTTCCATGTTACTACTAATACACCAATTGGAATAGTGGAATCCCGCCCTGGGCCTGTTATGGCTGGGAGTGGGTTCTTTGAGGCAGTAATAAGTGGAAAGGGAGGCCATGCAGCCATTCCCCAACATACAATAGATCCAATAGTAGCTGCTTCTAATGTCATTGTTAGCTTGCAGCATCTTGTTTCACGTGAAGCTGATCCTTTGGATTCTCAGGTATTCATTTTTCATCTAGTCTTCATCATATTTTGCAATCTTTTCACAGTTACTTGTGTGATTTTATTGCCTAGGGTGCAGTAGGATCCTTTGTTATTTACCTTTCACACAGAGGAGAGATTATTCTGTGCGGACACCGGATGGGAGAACTGTCCGGTATCGCTTGGTATCGAGCGCGGTACACTTTTAGGGTGACATGGCATATTTTTATTGATCTCTGGACGACGTCCGAACTCCGCACATAATAATTTGTCCATACAGAGGGTTTTTGTACCATATTATATTGTGTCTTTGCAGCTTTGGAAACCTCTATTGTTGTGTATATCGTCTTATTGTTGAAATCAATATTCTACTGTCCTTTTATTTCTGTAGTGCAGCATCGTCTCATGGCAGATTGTTTCCTTAATAAATAGACATTCCGACATCATTTACAGTTTAGATTCCAATCTGAAAATCCAGTTGTCTTTTGAAATGTTAAACCAACATGACCTTTGCATCATATATCAGCATTCAGTACAAACATGACTGAAACTTAACCGTTTATGTGGATCTTTTTGTACAAATAGAGTTTAAAACTCTTCCATTACAGGTGGTGACTGTAGCGAAATTCCAGGGAGGAGGTGCTTTCAACGTCATCCCTGATTCTGTCACCATTGGTGGCACTTTCAGGGCCTTCTCCAAAGAGAGCTTTTTCCAGCTCAAGCAACGAATTGAAGAAGTATGTCTATTTTCAATTCCGTGTGACCTTCTGAACTTATCTTGATTCAGCCATCATCGTAAACAGGTGATAGTTGGACAAGCCTCGGTGCAGAGATGCAGCGCCGCGGTGAGCTTCCTCGAGAAAGAACGACCATTCTTCCCTGTCACAATCAACAATGATACCCTCCATGCTCACTTCATAAAAGTTGCCGGCGAAATAGTCGGGCCAGGTAATATTCGAGACCGACATCCAGTGATGGGCGCCGAGGATTTTGCCTTTTTCGCCGAGGTTGTGCCGAGTACATATTACTACTTTTTGGGAATGCAAAATGAGTCAGGTGAGCTCCTGAAGCCAGGTCACTCCCCATATTTCACTGTCAATGAGGATGTGTTGCCATATGGTGCTGCTCTGCATGCATCTTTGGCTCAGCAATTCCTATTACAAAGGGCTGACTCTGCATTGCAATCTCCATCAGAATCCCATAGTTCCTCTCATGATGAACTTTAGATTATTCTGATCTTTCAGCCACTTGTTTTGGTCCAAATGTTACGGGGTTTTAAATCAGTTCCTCAAGTATTCTGGAACTGAGAGGATCAAGCGGCTGTAAATTGATAACAATATGCGTATTCTGTAAGCACGACGATGAGAATGATAAATGTGGAACTGTTTCTTCAGTTATGTGAATTACTTGTGCCCGTTCAACGTGGGAAAGACTGAATTTATTTGGATTTTCATTCTGCTTTGGATTCGGGAATGACTGCATGCGAGTCTTTGGGCTCTCTACTTTTACAACATTAGTAGGAGAAATTATTAGGCCTCGTTTGTGACAGATTAATTTCATCTTTTTTGCTTCGAAATGGCACAATTGTTTTTTGGTTGCTGTTTGTATGCGACGCTTCTGTAGAAATGCTTTTTACAAAACGTCATTTTTCTACTATTTTGAGAAGTTTTTTGATATTTGCTTCTCTTGAAGTAACTTTCATTTACTCAACCAATATTTTTAAAATTATTTTTTACAAAAGATATCGGACAACCAAACGAAGCTTTAGTTGATTCGAACAATCTCCTTGCATGGCTCACCAAACTTTAATTTAATTGCCTTGATCAAGGGTGGATCTAGCATGGGGGCCTTGGGGGCACGGGCCCCCACTGACTGATCACTAATGCCTAGTTGAGGTTAGTTTTGATTTGCCAAAAAAAAAACTAATTATGGTAATCCTTACTTACCGAATCAAACCGCGCTTCGTGCTCACCGCCTAATTTATTTATTTTTCCCTTCATCTGTTCTGCATTTCATTCCAATTCTCAAAACCTACACTTCCTTTCGCCTATCTGCTGTCAATTTTTTTTGGCAGTCATGAAGAGTACCTTGCAGCCTCGCTTATTTCAGAAAGATATCTCGTCAAGCGGCTCAAATAGGACATGCGAACTACGAAACGTGGTCGAATGGGGGTTGCGGAAAAGAAAAAAACAAGCTAATTTAATATTTATATTTATTTTCATTGATTCATTTTGCTAAGCGGTTCGCCTCTATCTCTAGGGATTTCTTGTTTTCCTTTGCTTGCCATCTCTGCGCTACCGCAAGCCAAAAATTCCCTCAGGTTCTTGACTTTTTTTTTATTGTATATCATGCTCTTTCCACTCTTTCTGCTCCCTTGAGAATCCTAGGTTTAAATTTCCTCATTCATTGCAGCATCTACTTCGAGACCAACTCAAGCTTTGGCCTTTGGCTCCAGTGCTGATGATGAGGAGTTTAACTTGTTCATCTTCTTCCCAAAGGTAAATTTCTGAGGTGAGAATGCCTTTCTCTGAAGTTCAAACAATTTATGCTTAATGATTTTATTTTTCCCTATATGTTCTTGCTTATTTGTGACCTACTGAGGCTTTCGTTGGTTAGGAATTCTTCACTTTGATTATTTTATGAAAGCTCTTACGATAGTTTTTTTAAATCTTGTAAATGGTGAATGTTTTCAACTAGTTGTTCCTTATTTAATTTTTAGCACTTTTTCTAACATTGCTTAGAAGACATGAGGAATTTTTAGCTATTTAATTTTATATTAAAAGTTGCTTGTTAATATAATTTTTGAATTATTTTAAGATTTAGATTAAATAATATCTATTTTCTATTAATATTTGAAAATTATATTGTCAGATTAGTGCAATTACTTCAATAATTTGGAGTCCTCACATTAAAGTAATCTTGGCTCCATCATATGAAAAATTGTATTTTTTTTAAATTCAATAATTTATGCCCTATTTAAAAAAAATTCTGGCTCCGCCCCTAACCTTGATCGACTACAGATCAAAGATTTTTTCCATAAACACAATACTTTCCTCGGCCTTCGCCTTCCTTCACCTCTTCATAATGAGGCAGGCTAAAAAAACTTGGCTAGAGCTCATTGCAAACTTGAAAAAATTATAACGAAGTCAAAGCCGATACATAGTGTCCTCAACTCATTTATTGCCCTACTCGCAATTCCTATAAATTAGGAGCCACATCGGATGCGCCTGACCAGGCGAGGTCGTAGTCCTCCTGGGTAGTGAACTTGAGGAAAAACCCATCATCCATGGTGAGAAGGGACACAGAACCCTTGAGCTGCCAAGTTTTGTTGATGACCGCCAGTAGAGGGGGGAAGTCGGCGGAAGCCATGAGAAGGCCCCCGGGCGGGGAGCGCGGGATCGCAAGAGGCGCCAAAACCCTAGAGCTTCTCTATCTATGACTATAAAGTCAAAACCCCTGCCGCCTGGAAGTTCCATATTCCGAAGGAGATTCATCAACATTATTTATCTGAAAAAAGGACACTCTCATTGGTTTCGCATATAAAATCTGATATTTGATGTCGCCGATGAATCTGATATGCCTATTTTTTCATGATTTTAAGGGTATTTAATTACAAATTTACTTGCTTATATGTACAAATTTTCATGATTGAAAGCCTAAGCCTCCATTATCGCAAGGAAGACTGATTGCTCTCCGAGTGGACGACTTATTCAACATTTCTAAGAACAGAACTCTTAAGGAACAAGAAAGCTAGCCAAAGGTTTTGACGTTACTCTGAGGATTGCAAGGATGAGCATTCGTCAAGGGATCCTTTTAAAGAGCATTCGTTGAATGTTTCAAACTACTCGTTTATTTATCTTTGCCATTTGTTCAGTCCAATGAAACATGAGCACCACAATTATCCCACCCAGGAGATGAATTTTATATTAGATTTACAACAGATTCCTTGCTCGCGAAGAGATCTTTAGTCTTCTGGCTGCAACAACCAGCCAGAAAGAGAGTCAACTTGATTCGATTTCATTGTAGAAATAAAATTGGGTTACAGGCAGAGAAATAGTATTCGCCTAAAAATTAATTATGTCAGCAATAACACCACGCAGTTTTATACTTGGGAAATCTCTTATTAAGACAAATTCATAAAAATATTATTCGTTAATCTTTAGAAGAACGATCAAGATGGCGAAAAAAGATCTAAAAAAAAACTTTTATTATGAGAAATTAACAATTTCATATTACTTTTATATAAATATTTAGTAGCTTTTATAATATATCCTATCATCTTAAACAAATAATTTCCAGTCTATAATTATACAAGGAAGTATGCAACTCGGGTATGGCATGAGACAGAATGGAACTCGCATCAGCACACGCATCTGAAACAGCACTAATCGGCTTACCTCGGAATTAAGCTACAAGGTTTCCAGCGAATCAAAAATTGAACCCATATCAGAACAATAATAATATTCAATCTCAAGTGCAAATTCTGTCAATTCATCTACACAGACAAAGAAGGGAAACTAGGTTTCCTGAGCACATCAAAGACAGTTCCACAGAGGAAAAACAGGGTAGAGATATAAAACAAACAGAAACTCGTCAATACAACCACGATCAATATCAATCAGCACCGACTCTCATACACATCCATCAAGTATCACAAACCCCAACAATACAAAAAGATCCACATTAACAGCCCCCAGAAAAGACATAGAATCACAAAAGAACCGACACATCAAAGAACCAAGAATGACGGAACACCTCAGTGGCGGAGGAACCCCATCATAAGAGCCAAGACAGAGCAGATGAAAACACCTGCGACGGGTGATGACAGGGAATTCCCTCCGGAGGCGGGACTAGGCGCCGGAGCATCGACAGCAGAGGCACTCCCGGAGAGAAGGGCGACGGCCAGGACGGCTATAGCAACGAAGGAGACGACTCCGGTCTGAGCAGCGGCCATTTTCTTTCTCCGAAAGATTTAGGGTTAGGGTTTGAGTATGGAGAGATTGGCTTTTGCTTCAAAAAGAATTCGGAAGCCGATGATTATGACCTGTGCGTTGCAGAAGAGGAAGAGGAGGGTATTTATAAGGAAAAAAGTATTCGTGTTAACGGGCAATTCGGGCAGGCTTTTTTTGGTCGGGCAGTTTCCCGCCGGAGCGGCGACTCGTTCGCTGACAACTGGCATCGGTTGCTGCGGCGTTCGCAATTGCGTTTTGTTTAACGCTTTAGGTCGGTTCTGTTCGCCGAACAATTGACGGTGTCCTTACCGACTTCCCACATTCCTCTTACGACCGCCCAAATTATTTAAATTTGCCGTGGCTAAGTGCCTTTCATTTCAATAAAACAAATTTGTGTGCTATATTTAGGGTTATGCTTTAAAATAGTTCTTCCAATTTGTATAATCTAACATATTTTTAAATTTAATTTTTTAAATTAAATAAAAATATTTAGCTACGATCAAGCTTATATAATTGAGAAACTAAAGATTCGTTTGGGATGATTTTTTTACTTTTTAAAACGACGTTTTAGTATAAAAAATATTTTTTTTTTTGTATATAAAACAGTTTTAGGAAGTAGTAAAAAGCCGCCCCAAACGTAGCCTAAAACTCCATTTGAGATAGCTTTTTTCCAACTCGTAAGAAAATTTTATACTAAAAAATAATTTTACGAAGAAAAAAAAAGCCATCCAATATGAAGCCTAAGTGTCTGCGCAGGAACAATTATTATGTCCTCTGACCTGACGTAGAGCTAAGTTTGGCTGCCAATAACATGTCGCCACGTGCTCTTACTCTTTACCGCGCAGCCCGACGACTTGACCCGGACCGGAACCCGGGAATGCTATGTTCGTGTATTGCGAGGTATTACTCGGTATTGCTAGGTATTGCTAGGTATTGCTTGGCAATAACGAGAAATACCGTTCTGTGAAGACCAATGCCGAGCAATACCGAGTTGTAACGAGTTTTTCTAGACAACTCGGTACAACTCGGTATTGCTCGATATTTACTCGGTATTTGCTCGATATTGGTTATTGCCGAGCAAAATTGACCAATACCTAGCAAAATTGACCAATACCTAGCAAAATTGAGAAATACCGAGTAATCATAGGTCCGTTCCTGGTCAGGTTGTCGGGGCGCGTGGTAAATAGTGAAAAAGCGTGGCGCGATTCTACTGGCGGCCGAACGTATAGCTATGTCCTGTGACCAGACCAAATAAAAGTTCGTTTGTTTGAGATTACTATAGTGTTTTATAAATAATATTATAAAATTATTGTGGGGGAAGTAACTTTTTTAAAAGCTGCTTTAAAAATTAGCTTTCTAGAACCAATTTTTTTTTAAAGAACATTAAAAAAAAGCTATCAAATAAAAATTATGGTTAGTGACTGAAAATCAAATCAGTAAAAATGCTGTCATAAATAAAACATAAATTAAAATTAAATTTATTTCATAATTGTTGCATGATA